GGCTTTGCGCTCTGCCTCGTCGCGAGTGGACGTGGAGAAGGGGCCTCCCCCAAATCCGAAGAGCCGCTAAAATTAGAACCAGAGCAGGAACAGCCCGGCGCGGTCATGTGAGGGGAACACATTTTTTTCTTTTTTTCTGGCTTCCTTCGTGTTTTTTTCCGCCTAGTTTCCTGCACTTTAATGCCGTGGATGGGCGTCGGCTTTCTCCGCTGAGCAACTCGCGCGGCTTTCCCCAGTTGCTCAACCCAGTTTTACTAAAAGGAATGGTTCGTCGCAGGCACTGATTTTTTTTTTTTTCTTTCATGCAAAACATGAAACAGAAAAGCCGCTTAAGCAATGAACTCGCGGAACGAGTTCTGAATTGAATTTCGCTTGGGTCTGTTTCAGAACTGGATGACCTAATATTGGCTTTCGTTGTCTCCTTATCATTAATCAAAAATGTAGGAAAGAAAATGGTGTGATTTATAGAGCAGTCTTTAAACATGGACCATGTTACGCAGTCTTTTGTGAATAAAACATCCAGTCCTTTGTGAATAAAACATCGCTGCCTGGCAGCTCCACCCAGAACTAATTTTACAGACCTTATCCTTCTAAATGGCTTGTCAGAGTCCAGGTCATTTTTTTAAACAAGGGTTTTCACTACTCAAACAATGCCCTTTCTCACGGAGAGTTCTTTTTTATCAGATTAACTTATCAAAATTGAGTAAGGTTTCCCAGTCCTTTCCAAGAGAAAGTGGGGGGATTAAGATGGTTTGGTAACTATTAAATTCAGACAGCGCTCCATTCTTACTTCCTCTTTTGCTCTTAAGAAATCTTACAATGAACCGATTCTTAGGTTACTTCCAGTGGAAACTTTGGTTTAGGTTCTTCCCCCTGGAAGGGATACTTTTATGTGGAATTAACTTTCCTGAGAATAATGTGTCCTATCTTGATATGCTGGTGTGGTGATGTAAATGATGAGTGAGCAAGTTTCAAAGAATCATTCTCTTTATCCTGGCTCATTTGGCTGTTTCTTGAATCTCTCCTGTGCATTTTCCCAGCGATGTCTGAAGTTTTTCAATCATTGCCTTTTAATCATGTAGACACTTGACCCAAGAGAGCATCAGTGAGGGAATTTTTTCCGGTGCGGACATTAATACCTTCAAAGAATGGAACTAGTGTCAGGGCCCTTATCTGTACAGAACAAGGGAGAATGCTGGTTTGTATTATAAGATTATGTATGTGATTTCTATGCCACCATAACACCAGTCAGTTTCCAATCAAAGCCACAGTTTTTAGTTATCATGAAAGTTACAGCTGCTAAAGATATGGTGTTGAATTTGCACTGGCTTTGTCATTAGTTATCCTTGGAAGCCATTCCAGCAAAACATTTTGGTAAAATATCTAATATTGCAATGGACTTTGGTTGTCTGTTCTTCCGTTATGTAGCTGACCTTCCTGTCTGCATGTCCTCTGGCCCCCAGGCACCTGGAGGGGCTTCCAGTCAGGTTCAGACGGATTCCAGGGCGGATCCTCCTGTCGACCTGTGGGTGTGGGGACCAGAGACCTCACTCCGTGGCCACCTGTAGACTCACGCGATCAGATTCCCGAGTCTCTTCCAAGTGCACATTTAGCAATTTAAAATGTATTATTAAAAATCCGTGCCTCCTATTGAAAAATTAATATGTAGCCTTCCACAGTGGCAGTTTTTTAAAACATTGGTTCAGAGAGGAAGGGAGAGGGAGAGAGAGATAGAAACATCAACGGTGAGAAAGAATCATGGATCAATCGGTTGCCTCCTGCACACCCCACACTAGGGACTGAGCCCGAAACCAGGCCATGTGCCCTGACCTGGAATTGAACCGTGGCTTCCTGGTCCATAGGTTGACGCTCAAGCACTCTGGCACTCACAGCGGCAATTCTTCATGTTTATGAAGTATCTTCCGTACCAGTGTCTTCTCTTTCTACTTAACGTGGGAACCTCCCAACTTGTTCACATGGGTTTTCCATCTCACTAGTTAGCTAGAGCCAACTTTTTCCACAGGTAGTCTAAGTTACTTTAAACACATTCTGCACTCTTGGTTTGGGGGAAAAAATCAAGATTTGGCTGTACTTCATAGATGAATGATCTATTTAACACATTTTCATTCAATTTAAGGCTTTTATCTTTAACTAGAGGCCTGGCGCACGAATTTGTGCATGGGTGGGGTCTGGCCAGCCCGCCCCAATCAGGGCCGATTGGGCCCGCTGTGGGGAGGGGCAGAGGGCAGTTGGCGGGCCAGCTTTGCCCCCTGGTCAAACTCCCGGTCGAGGGGACAATTTGCATATTAGCCTTTTATTATATAGGATTTTCTTTAAGGTGATGGAACTGAAAATATTATCCTGGGGCCGTCTGAGCTTAGTTTCATTTATAAGGTTGTTTATAAAGAGTGAACATATTCAGGGGCAGCAGGAATGTCATCGAGGCAAAATCAGGCTCCATAATTTTTCACTAGAAACTTCATGAACATCAGAGGAGTTACCTCCTGATGTGAAGGTTGGATTAGGAAATCTTGGGTTGGTTTGCAGTCCCTGGGCTGTAATTTACGGGGTATTTTTACGAAGGTCTGGCACAGGCGCAGGGGCAGGGGCAGTGTGAGCGGGGAAGCTGCGACCAGGCTCAGTCCAGAGGCGGTGCCGCATCTGGTACACTGTCCAGGCCCTGCACCCGAGGTCAGATCTCTCGGTGGCGAGGGACTTCCCCTCGGGTCAGGTCAGGGTTATCCGATACCCTGGCCTGTGCTGCTTCCGGCTAGCCTCACTCAGGTCCCGGTTCCTTTGACTCTTGTCTTTGTTTTGGATCCTGTGGAAGAACTGGATCCAAAAGGGCTTGGCTGCGTTACAAGCCCCTGAGTCCACTGGCAGTCGGCCCTTCCTTCCCTCCTGGCAGCTCCTGCCCTGGGAGACCTGCCCGTGGCGGGCGGGTTAGAGGTGGCAGTCGGCCGTGTCTTCTCTTAGTGACTGAGAAGTTTCACGTGGTAGAAATGTCACAGCGTTTTTACATCATAGATCCATTCCTGCAGTAAATTCTATTCCTACTAGAGGCCCTGTGCACGACATTCGTGCACTGGGTGGGGGGTGCCCATCAGCCCGGCCTGTGCCCTCTCGCAGGCTGGGACCCCCAAGGGGTCCTTAGCTCTGCTTTGGAGGCAGGAAAGGCTCCTGCCATCTCTGCTGCTCTCATCAGCCGTGAGCCTGGCTTCTGGCTGAGCAGTGCTCCCCCTGTGGGTGCACACTGACCACCAGGGGGCAGCTCCTGCGTCGAGTGTCTGCCCCCTGGTGGTCAATGCGCGTCATAGCGACCGGTCGTTCCACCGGTCAATGTGCATATTAGGGTTTTATTATATAGGATAGCCTGTATACTCTTCTAAAACTTTACAAACACAGCAGTTGATTTAAAAATATAAATGAGGACTCCTCAGACCTTTCTTTGCTTTACGTGGTTTTTGGACCCAGCCTTTCTGTGTCTTTAGATTCTGTGTAGAGAAGAGCAACCCTTCCCTTGCTCTTTGGGTTAATTTTACCCATTTTATTTTGGCATGCCTGGTCTTCAAAGGTAAAGAACTTTTTCATTTAGTGCAAACAAACCAAAAAAGCCAACAAAATGATAGAGCTGGAGGAGTGGGTAATTTTGAAGGTGAGCGTTTAGAGTGAATTATATGTTTGGCCAGGTATTGCCTGAGAATAGGTATAATTCCCTGTGAAGGCATTGTGGCAGGGGACGAGGGTGACTGAGGGTGCAGCATGGCGAGGGGACAGCACCTGGTGCAGTTGGAATTCTCCCGGGGGAGGTGCGATGTGTGACCCGGCGAGTGGGAGCACAGGACGGAGGGAAGCCCTGTCTGAGTCACGGGAAGTCAGCCTGCCCAGCGCTGCCCCCTCCGTGTGGGCGGGGCGGGTGTGGGCAGGATGTCCACACGAGGGCTGTGGCCTCTGACTCACGTCTGTGACTCACGTCTGGTCCCTACGGGACTTCGTTAGCGGGGACGGTGACTCTGGCCGTATGGAATGCAGCAAGTATTTCCCAATTTCTAGAAAGCTCTCCAGCCAGCACTTATTCCTTCTTCAGAGGCAGTGGCTGAGGTTCTGAGGACACTGCTCTCCCAGCTTTCGCCTGGTTTCCTTCATCTCAGGGGTCACAGTTCTCTTCTCTTTAAGGCAAATCTCTGTGTCTCCTCTGTCGTTCACCTCACCCCTGCTTTTCCGTCTGTTTTCAGCTCCTCCCTATCCTGCAAACGGGGAGAAGTGTTTTTTAAGTGTGTTTTTAATGTTTTACTTACTTGTTGATGAGAGGGAGAGAGGGAGGGAGAGAGAGAGAGAGAGAGAGAGAGAGAGAGAGAGAGAGAGAGGCATCAATCTGTTCCACTTAATGATGCATTCATTGGTTGCTTCTTGAATGTGCCCTGACGGGGGGATCAAACCTGCCACCTCAACTTCTCAGGACGACGCTCCAGCCAGCTGAGCTACCCGGCCAGGGCCCGGGTCTGTTCTTAAAAGCATGTTTTAATAAACCACCGTTTGTAAGGTGGGGGTTCCCAGAGATGTCTGCCACCCCCCAACCCCCTTCATGGCTTGGTGTCTCCAGTCCCATTGTTTCCGCTGCCAGGACCCAGCCTCCCAACCCAGGGCCCTGTCCCCCAGCCCCACTCCTTTTCTTCCCCTGGTTTTGGACTCCCCTTGCCTCCTTCCCTCCTGGAACACGTTTCCCTCCGGCCTCCGAGCCAGGGCCCTGGTGAGCCGGTGCAGGTGTTGGCGGCCGTTCGAGAGCAGGTGACCTCCCTGTCCTCTGGCTCCGGTTTCCGACCCCTTTTTCCTGTTTCTGCCCTTGGTGACCGCCTCTTCCCGGCTCCAGTTCCCACCCACGCACTGTCACTCACAGGCCTGCTGTGGGGAAAGGAAAGCAGCTGCCCGCCTGTTCCCCTGCCAACAGGAGCCGGCCTCCTGTTTTCTTCTGCCGACCCTGACCCCGACTGTCCGACCTGACCCTGTCTGTCCAGCCCTGACCCCGTCTGTCCGGCCCTAACCCTGTCTGTCCAGCCCTGACCCTGACTGTCCGACCTGACCCCATCTGTCCGACCCTGACCCCGTCTGTCCAACCTGACCCTGTCTGTCCGACCTGACCCTGTCTGTCCAGCCCTGACCCTGTCTGTCCGACCTGACCCTGTCTGTCCAGCCCTGACCCCGTCTGTCCGACCTGACCCTGTCTGTCCGGCCCTGACACTGTCTGCCGGCCCTGACCCTGTCTGTCCTGCCCTGACCCCGTCTGTCCGGCCCTAACCCCGTCTCTTCAGCCCTGATCCCATCTCTCTGGCCCTGACCCTGTCTGTCCAGCCCTGACTCTGTCTGTCTGGCCCTGACCCTGTCTGTCTGGCCCTGACTCTGTCTGTCTGGCCCTGACCCCGTCTGTCCGGCCCTGACCCCGTCTGTCTGGCCCTGACCCTGTCTGTCTGACCTGACCCTGTCTGTCCGACCTGACCCTGTCTGCTGGCCCTGACCCTGTCTGCCTGTTCCTTTCCACCTCAGCTGCTCCTGACCTGGAGTCTTGCACCTTTCTGTGCTGGTAGCTCTGCAGTCTTCCCAGGTTTGCAGGGCCGTTTTGTGGTCTCCGCCGCTGCCCTGGTAACTGGGTGCAGAGTGGCTGCTCCTCCCGTGGCCGTGAGGGCTGGCCTGGAGCCCGGAGGAGATCAGCATTCCTGAGCTGACCTTCCAGCGCCCCCCACGGGAGCGCCCCTGGCTGTTGAAACACTCACTCTTCACCAGAGCCACATTCTTCCCGGGTTTATGCTTCTGACACGCTCTCTGCACTTCTCCACTTTCCCAAACCCGCCTGATGACGTCACAGGCCACTTTCAAGACATTTTGGGAAGTTTTTCCCATTTCTTCCTACTCTTCCCACTCAGTCCCTCCCCGAGTGCTCATGTCACCCCGGAGAACCCTCTGTGTGTGCCCTACACACGTCCGGCCTCCACTTACACAGCAGTTGTGCCCTCTCGGCTGTAGAAGTCTCGGCATTTTCCTAGTGAGTGTACAGTGCCCGGCATGTGGGACGCATTCAGAAATGGTTGTTGCTCAGCAGGTGTGGCTCAGTGGTTGAGCATTGACCTATGAACCAGGAGGTCAGGGTTCGATTCCCGGTAAGGGCACATGCCCTGACTGTGGGCTCGGCCCCAGTGTGGGCAAGCAGGAGGCAGCTGATCAATGATTCTCTCTCATCATTGATGTTTCTATCTCTCCCTCTTCCTTTCTCTCTGATATAAAGTATATATCCTATATAATAAAAGCCTAATATGCAAGTCGACCAAACGGCAGAACGACTGGTCGCTATGACCCACACTAATCACCAGGGGGCAGATGCTCAATGCAGGAGCTGCCCCTGGTGGTCAATGCTCTCCACAGGGGGAGCACTGCTCAGCCAGAAGCCAGGCTCAAGGCTGGTGAGCACAGCGGTGGTGGTGGGACCCTCTCCTGCCTCCGCTGCAGGTGGGTGGTAAGGAGGGAGGGGTCCCAGATTGCTAGAGCCCCGGACTGCAAGAGGGATGTCTGACTGTCAGCTTAGGCCAGGGGTGGGCAAACTTTTTGACTCGAGGGCCACAATGGGTTCTTAAACTGGACTGGAGGGCCGGAACAAAAGCATGGATGGAGTGTTTGTGTGAACTAATATAAATTCAAAGTAAACATCATTACATAAAAGGGTACAGTCTTTTTTTTTTTTTTTAGTTTTATTCATTTCAAACAGGCCGGATCAGGCCCGAGGGCTGTAGTTTGCCCACGGCTGGCTTAGGCCATATCCCTGGAAGGATCGGGCCTAAGCTGGCAGGTGGACATTCCCTGAGGGGTCCCGGACTGTGAGAGGGCGCAGGCCGGACTGAGGGACCCCCATCCCCACCCCTGAGTGAACGAATTTCGTGCACTGGGTCTCTAGTAATATATAAAAGAAAAATGGATGTCGAATGAATGAATAAATAGACGGCAAACTACACTAGCTCTGGGCCCCAGGTTCTCACACTGTGAGAACGCGTGTGTTTCCTCATTGTCATGACGATGCTGGCGGCGCCGGCAGAGGGTTTGAAGCAGCCCCACTCAGCGGCGGCACGTGGCCCAAGAGGCAGCACTTTTCCTCCCAGTTCGGACGGGCTGTCTTCCCAACCTTCCCAGCTTATCTCCCAAGCGGTGCTCCCTGTAACGATGTAGGACCGCCTGATGTTGCCTGTATCAGCCGCCTGGTCCTCATGGCTCAAGCCGTGGAACCAGGGGAGGGGGCCTGTGGCTCTTCGTGCATCTGCCGTGTTAGAGGCAGGCGGGGGGGAGACTGCCTGGTGGGGGCGCATTTCCCGGAGCGGGGTGGGGGGAGCGGAGAGCTTTGACTTAGCTTCCCGGCCTCCCAGGGGGCATGGGGCTGCCCCTCCCCTTCCCTAGCTGGCCACACCCTTTCTTTAGCTCAGGGATGCGGAGAGCTTTGACTTAGCTTCCTGGCCTCCCGATGAGACCAGGGAGCATGGGGCTGCCCCTCTGCTTCCCTAGCTGGCCACACCCTTTCTTTAGCTCAGGGACGAGGAAGGAGCTTCGGCCAGCCTACAGGGCCCGGCAATCACGTGGGAAACAGCCCTTCCTCCTGGGCTGTGTTCTTTGGGCCCCAGGAGCACAGCACTGAGGTCCTCTCAGGGTCTCTCAGGGTGACTCCTGTTCCGAGGTAGGACGAGGGACCTTGCTTCTTTCCTTGAGTGAGAGGAGGGACAGGAGAGAGCTATCCTGACCCCGTTACGGTGGTGAGGAAGACTTTATTCACGACGATTGCAATGGGGAGAGAGTGGGTTCGAGTCTGAATACAGCGAAGACACTGGGGATGCAGTAGGGGAGGGGTCAGCGGGTGGAAATTACTGAGGGGACATCCAGGGCAGGGGGTCTTGCTAACCTGGCCCAGGAGGGTTCTTGCTGGAGGCAGCCCATGACTTACTCCTCAGAGGGGGGCGTGAGGACCGGACCGATGTGGAGGGCAGGGCTCTCCCTCAGCTGACTCAGCAGGTCCCTGCTGCCGCTGGGAGGGACCAGGCCTCGCCTCAGAGGAGCCCCCTGAAGGGGGTCAAGGATCCGTGCGCGCTGCTCTTTCAGGGGGAGTAGCTCAGGGCCCCGAGGAGAGCCACCAGCTGGCCTTGGTGCTGTGTCCTGTGGACGCCTGTCCTGTGGCTGCTCTCGGCATCTGTTTTGGTTTGACTGGTGGCAGGATGCTGCTGGCCAGTGCAGCAGTCGGAGGCTGGGTGGGGTGTAGGTGACCAGGCTTGCATGCGTTCATAATCCAACACGCGTGACTGCACACCCGCCAGGATCCTCCCCTTCCCTTAGGGTCCCCCAGTTTCAGATGGAACCCTAACGGGAGTCTGGAGGGGCTTTGAAGACATTTGTGGGTGGAAGGAAATGCTGGCAGCTCCCTTTATCAGAGATAAATGTTTGGCTCAGTATTGGGAGCCTTCTTCCCCTAAAGATCTAATGAAGTTGCGAGCGTGAAATGTGTTGATGCTGTAAGTGCTGTGTGTGTGATCAAAGGGTGGGTAGCAGGAAATGTAGAGAGAATCTCCCACAATGCACCGTTGTCATTCAAAGATCGTCTTCTTCTGGCGCACACATTTCCAATACCTCCCAGGCGTTGTCAGGTTACCGTACAGTTACTAATAAGCAAACGGAAATAGGGCTACACGCAAAGTCAAAGAACGAGAGCATAGCGCACCTGGGTTAGGGCTTCCCGCTAGAACGCGGGCTCCGAGGGCTCCTGGACCAGGGGCCCGAGGCTTCCCGCAAAGAAGGTCTGGGAGGAAGAGAGTCAGGAGGTGGGGGTGGGGGTTGGGGGTCCTCACAGAGGCCACGCCGGAGGGAAGAGGGCCTGCAGGAGGCTGTAGCCCATGCATTGAATGGTCTTGCTGATCCGCCCATTTCAATAGGGTGACACAGCTTATCACGGGGAGCTGATTTGCACTGGGATGTGATAGAGCCGGGCTCACTGTTGATGTGCGTGCTGTGTGTGCGTGTTATGTGCGTGCTGTGTGCATGCTGTGTGTGTTGTGTGTGTGCTGTGTGTGCATGTTATGTGCATGCTGCATGTGCGTGTTATGTGCGTGCTGTGTGTGCGTGTTATGTGCGTGTTATGTGCGTGCTGTGTGCGTGCTGTGTGTGTTGTGTGCGTGCTGTGTGTGTTATGTGCATGCTGTGTGTGCATGTTATGTGCGTGCTGTGTGTTATGTGCGTGCTGTGTGTTATGTGCGTGCTGTGTGTGTTATGTGCGTGCTCTGTGCGTGTTATGTGCGTGCTGTGTGTGTGTGTTATGTGCGTGCTGTGTGTGGTGTTATGTGCCTGCTGTGTGTGGTGTTGTGTGCCTGCTGTGTGTGTTGTGTGCGTGCTGTGTGTGCGTGTTGTGTGCCTGCTGTGTGTGTTGTGTGCGTGCTGTGTGTGCGTGTTATGTGCGTGCTGTGTGTGTTATGTGCGTGCTGTGTGTGGTGTTATGTGTGCTGTGTGTGCGTGTTATGTGCGTGCTGTGTGTGCGTGTTATGTGCGTGCTTTGTGTCTGTGGAAGTCACACTGTGAATAACGCCCCTGTTCCCGCCTCAGGCTCTCAGAGGCACCGTGACCGACTTCCCCGGGTTTGATGAGCGGGCGGATGCAGAGACCCTCCGGAAGGCCATGAAGGGCCTGGGTAAGGCCCCCTTCCTTTTGTTCTAAAGAAACGGGATCGTTGTTTTTCCAAACAAAACGTCATCGATTCGCAGGAGGACTGATTTTGGGATATTTTGATCTGGAGAGAGAGGTGCACTGAGATGACGGAATCATCCCCTGACCACCCGGGGTTCAGTGTCTGGACTGAGCAGCCTGTGTCTGCAGCTGCCTGTCAGCTCTTCCTGTGGCGGGTGACGGCCAGGGGAGCAGACCTTCCCGGGCCCCCTCTGCAGTCTCCGCTGTCCATGCCAGCACCACCCGCTTCACGCCTCCTCCACGCCCGTCTCCTCTGTCCCAGCCTCCCTTCTAGCCGCTTAGTAGCCTCTGTCCTCGAGGATTTCCACATACACTGTTTCCCGCCCCCAAGCCATTGAACCAGGTGTTCCCCATACCCAGGCCCTGCACCAGGTGCTCCCCTACCCCAGGCCCTGCACCAGGTGCTCCCCTACCCCAGGCCCTGCACCAGGTGCTCCCCTACCCCAGGCCCTGCACCAGGTGCTCCCCTACCCCAGGCCCTGCACCAGGTGCTCCCCTACCCCAGGCCCTGCACCAGGTGCTCCCCTACCCCAGGCCCTGCACCAGGTGCTCCCCTACCCCAGGCCCTGCACCAGGTGCTCCCCTACCCCAGGCCCTGCACCAGGTGCTCCCCTACCCCAGGCCCTGCACCAGGTGCTCCCCTACCCCAGGCCCTGCACCAGGTGCTCCCCTACCCCAGGCCCTGCACCAGGTGCTCCCCTACCCCAGGCCCTGCACCAGGTGCTCCCCTACCCCAGGCCCTGCACCAGGTGCTCCCCTACCCCAGGCCCTGCACCAGGTGCTCCCCTACCCCAGGCCCTGCACCAGGTGCTCCCCTACCCCAGGCCCTGCACCAGGTGCTCCCCTACCCCAGGCCCTGCACCAGGTGCTCCCCTACCCCAGGCCCTGCACCAGGTGCTCCCCTACCCCAGGCCCTGCACCAGGTGCTCCCCTACCCCAGGCCCTGCACCAGGTGCTCCCCTACCCCAGGCCCTGCACCAGGTGCTCCCCTACCCCAGGCCCTGCACCAGGTGCTCCCCTACCCCAGGCCCTGCACCAGGTGCTCCCCTACCCCAGGCCCTGCACCAGGTGCTCCCCTACCCCAGGCCCTGCACCAGGTGCTCCCCTACCCCAGGCCCTGCACCAGGTGCTCCCCTACCCCAGGCCCTGCACCAGGTGCTCCCCTACCCCAGGCCCTGCACCAGGTGCTCCCCTACCCCAGGCCCTGCACCAGGTGCTCCCCTACCCCAGGCCCTGCACCAGGTGCTCCCCTACCCCAGGCCCTGCACCAGGTGCTCCCCTACCCCAGGCCCTGCACCAGGTGCTCCCCTACCCCAGGCCCTGCACCAGGTGCTCCCCTACCCCAGGCCCTGCACCAGGTGCTCCCCTACCCCAGGCCCTGCACCAGGTGCTCCCCTACCCCAGGCCCTGCACCAGGTGCTCCCCTACCCCAGGCCCTGCACCAGGTGCTCCCCTACCCCAGGCCCTGCACCAGGTGCTCCCCTACCCCAGGCCCTGCACCAGGTGCTCCCCTACCCCAGGCCCTGCACCAGGTGCTCCCCTACCCCAGGCCCTGCACCAGGTGCTCCCCTACCCCAGGCCCTGCACCAGGTGCTCCCCTACCCCAGGCCCTGCACCAGGTGCTCCCCTACCCCAGGCCCTGCACCAGGTGCTCCCCTACCCCAGGCCCTGCACCAGGTGCTCCCCTACCCCAGGCCCTGCACCAGGTGCTCCCCTACCCCAGGCCCTGCACCAGGTGCTCCCCCACCCCCGGCCCCTCCACCAGGTGCTCCCCCACCGCCGGCCCCTCTACCAGGTGCTCCCCTGCCCCAGGCCCCGTGTTAGGACCCACCTTTCTCAGATGTGGCTGCCCTTTGGGAGGGTTCCTGGTGGGGGGCTCTGGGCTGGCCAGACCTCCGTGGTACCCCAGCCCGCCTGTCTGACTCCTCCCCTGCTCTCTGAGCCACGCTGTCCCTGCTGTTCACGAACGCCTGGTGTTCCCCCTGCTGCCTTTCCTCTCATCCCAACAAAAGCCCGTCCTCCTTCCGCTTGGCCTTTCGTCCTTCAAGACTGACGGCTGCACCTTTCCCAAACCCTGTCCACCTCCTGTCACTTCGAGAACCTCCTTGGGGCCCCTCTTAGCGCCTGGGCCGCCCCTGGGCCCTGTCACGTTCTGCCGTAGCTCAGGGTTGTGTGTGTCTGTATTTTTTCCCTAAATAGTCTGTCACTTGGAACTGGGTCTCCCTCTTTGTCCCTCTCGTTACTTGGAAACCCCACGGCTTCGTGCGTGGGAACAGCCCCCGTTTGCTGCGAGGACACCGGTGCCCTCAGTGTGTGAAAGCCAGGAGGGCTTCCCGCCCGCTTCCCGGAACAGCAGCGACGGTGGGATGTGCTGGCAGTGCCACATCGGACATGTGGTCACGTTCTAGCTTAATGCGTTTCCTAACACGACATGTTGTGTGGGGTGAGGCCCCAGGGCTCGGCAGCAGAGGTGAGCAGCCGGTGGGTGTGCAGCCAGGCCTGACCGAGCGCCCCCCGCAGGCACCGACGAGGAGAGCATCCTGACCCTGCTGACGGCCCGCAGCAAAGCGCAGCGCCAGGAGATCGTGGCCGCCTTTAAGACGCTGTTTGGCCGGGTAAGACGCGCCCCCGTCGACTGCCGGCAGCTGCGAGTTTGAGATGCGTTTGTAATTTTGGCAGAAATCGTGTATTTAACGATTCCAGCTTTCCTCCTCCCCGACCCGCATTTGCTTAATTAGCAGCTGTCGGTGAACAGTGCTCACCGCTTGTCCCCACACATTGCCCTTCCTGCGTGAGGCTGGACCCCGCCCTCCTGTGCCTCCCAGGGTGTCCCAGGGGCCCCGGTCTCCCCAGGGTGTCCCACGGGGTCCGGCCTCCCCAGGGTGTCCCACGGGGTCCCGGCCTCCCCAGGGTGTCCCACGGGGTCCCGGCCTCCCCAGGGTGTCCCACGGGGTCCGGCCTCTGTTTCCCAGCTGTCGGCCTGGGCTGCGATGCGTGTCGTCAGGACACAGGCACAGTCTCGACTGGGAGGGTATTTTGACAATTCAAATGGAAGTTAAATTTGTTACGAAATGAATGGGCGCCTCCATAAAAACTTGGGTGTCATTTCATCATTCTGCAAATTTTCATTTGCCCTTTCATTTAGAAATAAATGCAAAGCAAAAAAAAAAAAAAGAAAAAAGCAGCAGCAGCAGGCACTTTGAACCCAGTTTCCAGCTGTCAGGAGGCTCAATGGAGGGGCTGGGCATCCGCTCTCCTTCTCACCTGCGAGCGCGTTTTCCAGGGTGCAGGCCCCGTCGGGCACAGCGCGTCCTCCGTGACACAGAGGAAAGAGAGGTGTTGGCGGAGATGGGCCAGTTTTTACCCTTTGTCAACATACATTTATGATTTTTGGGGGGAAGTTTTTTTTTTAAAGCTACACGTGTTTCTCAGAACAGTATTTTAAAAACAGATTTTTTTTGTGTCCTTTTAAAGTTTTCATTTTTTTAATTCCTGAAGGAAGAGAAACATCTCTTGAACAGCGACCTTGACACGGAGGGAGGCCTTGCTTCCCCTCAAGCCCAGGCCGCGGCTTTGGCTTCGCTCCGCGCCTTCTGCTGGGGAGCCCTTCAGAGCGAGGGCCGCCATTCCCAGCGAAGAAGCGAAGAAGAGCAGCGTGTGCGCCTGGTAACGCGCCTGTGTTCTCTGTGCGCAGGACCTGCTGGACGACCTGAAGTCGGAGCTGACGGGGAAGTTCGAGAAGCTGATCGTGGCCCTGATGAAGCCCTCGTGGCTCTACGACGCCTACGAGCTGAAGCACGCCCTCAAGGTACCGGCGGCGCCCACGCGCCTCCCTGTGTGGGTCTGTGCTCGTGACCGCCCCTCCTTCATCGTAAAAATACTCAGTTATTCCTGCGAGGGTTTCCTGGAGAACAGAACTGTGGGAGGCAATCAGGAGGAGAGGCGGAGGCAATTACAAGCGTGTCATTTAATCATTT